AGCCGGGAGCCTAGGGCGGGTGCCCTTAAGGGACCATGTTGGGGGGGGGGGAATATGGATGCAGTTGCCCTGAACTGTGACAGCCACATCTTTGAAACTGAAACTTTTTGCGGGAACATTTTTGAATGACTTTTAGTGACTCGAAAAAAAAGTCAATGAAAAGTTTTGAAATTGTTGAAACATTTTGTGTCAACATTTTTTAAAAGAAAAACATTCTGGTTTTCTGGTTCAACATGACATTTCAGTTTGAAACTGAAGATTAGATAGATAGATAGATAGGGTGTAGGAGGATAGCTAGCTAGAGTCACAATTGAAACAAAGCATTCTGGTTGACCTGACCAGTATTTTTTTTTTCAGATTTCCGGTTCTTGAAAATTTTCAAGACTTTTCATCCTGATTTGGAATGGGGAAATTTGCTGCTATCTTGACATTTTTTACAAGATGGGAAAACCATTTCCCACCCAGCTCTACTCCAAAAAGATACATAACAGGTTTGCCCAGCACCTTGTGCTATGTGGGGTGGGCCATGGCTGAGCTCCTAGGTCCAACCACAACACCAGTTACAATTGGGGCCAGTCCCTATGGGCTGTGGTGGATTCTCCAGCACCTGGAATCTTTACACCTATCTCTGTAGTCTCTTACAAGCTCTCGCTCAAACACTGGAGTTAGAGGGCTGGATGCAGGAATCACCGGCTGAGATCCTGTTGGAGGTCAGACGAGAGCAGAATGGTTCCTTCTGGCCTATAAATGTAAAAATGTGGAGAGAAGGGTTTCTGAGGGAGCCATCACCTTTCCCAGGGATAATAACTTCATCACAGGAGCAGCAGCTCTGTGGTTTCATAGATAAGGCCAGAAGGAACTATTCTGATCATCTAGTTGGACCTCCTGCATAGCCCAGTTTTGGGTGTCAATTTCACCCTCGTCTCAGCTGATCATCGCTCACTCGTTAGCCACTGTCCTGAGCGTAGCGCTGCTGCCTGGCTCTCCTTCTGCTTCCTCATCCACACGCCTTGCCGGTGAGCTCCAGGCAGCTGCAGGCGACAGTCTGAGCTCTCTCTGGCCGCATAGTCCAATAAACCCTTGTTTCAGTTCAGGGAGCAGTTTCCGAAGCCCTGGAAAACCAAGGGTTAAACTTAATGTGACTAGTTAGGAGATCTGTCGTTTAAATGAGGTTTCTAAGCTCCCCCTCTAATAGGCTCTGGGAAGGGAGTGGGGTCTAGTGGTTTAGAGTGAGCGGGCTGGGAGTCAGGATTCCTGGGTTCTACCCCTGGATCTGGGAGGGAAATGGGGTCTGGTGGGTTAGAATAGGGGGATTCCCCGATTCTCTTCCCACTTTTGCCACTGATTCACCCATGGGTCTTTCCCAGAAGAACTGACCCTTGAACTTTTCAGAGGAGGAACCCGAAAGCATCATGTCCTCTAGGAGAGAAACAAAGATAAGGTCAGTCAGCCTGTTCATCAAAATCATTTCCCATTTATATTAGACACTTTACAGCACAGCGAGCACTTTCAGGTCGGAATGGCTACATATGATGGTGCAGAGGGCCCCAGTGATTGGAGTACCAAGGGGCCTTACAGCTGGAATACCTCACCCACTGAAAGAATATTCTGTTATTTATCATTTGTGTCACCATAGCACCTAAAGGCCGAGTCAGGGTTCAGGACCCCATTGTGCTTCACGTTGTATAAACACAGACCAAAACGATGGTCCCCACCTGGTCTCACCAAGACCTTCCAGACAACTTCCCCGTAGCGTTTCATCAGTACGATGAGTTTGAGTCCCTCCCTCATGTCCTTGGTGTAGATTTCCATGAACGGCTGCTGGTCCTCTGGACTCATGTAGCGAAAGTCCACTTCCTGGTATAGAGACAAGAAATTCCTGTAGGGGAGACCCCACCTGAGTCTGCAATGCAGGGATGCACCTGTCCTAAGTAACTCATTGGGGTCTTTGCTTAATTCATTAGCTGGTGGCCGCTAAATAGTAATATATGGGAGTCCCTGTGGTAGCTGAAATTTTGAGGTTTGCAGAGTGGTTTCCATGTGGATGAGAAATCAATGTCATGGAGCAATTTCTTGGCATCATTTGTTTATTTGCAGTATGTACGTGTCCTGGTTCCTTGGACAAAAGCCCAAGCAGGCAGCAACCTTTTGCAGATTGCCTTAACGAGGCCCCTCTTCCCTGTCCCAAAACCCATCCCTCTGCCTTCTGGGCACGTCTATGCTGCAGAGTGAACTCAGATGACTGGCACCTGGGTCTGAACACAAGGTTCACCTAGCCTGGATGTGAGCTGCCACACTGCAATGCCCCACCCGGCTCCGACTCCTGGCTTCTGACTCCGGCTCTGACCTTGGTGGCTGATTTTCTGCTCCGACCACTCAGCCTGACTCCTGCCCCAAGCACTGGGCCTGGCCACCCTCTGGCACCAAGTGGGGTGCTTTTGGAGAACAAGTCGGTGGTGGAAATCTGATGTACAAGGGAAGTTAAAAAGAAAGAACTGTTCCAAGAGTTTGAGGAAGCAGCTTGTGATAATGAGACCATCAAAACTGCAAACGCAAAAAAAAGGAGGCTAAAAGGGCAGTTGCTAAATCAAGAATAAACGCTGAAGAGGAATTTTACAGAAAACCGGAGGAAGAGGATGGCAGGAAATTGGGTTTGGGGTTGGTAAAAAAGAGGAACAATGTAACACAAGATGTGAAGAAATCTTTGATGGGATCTGTGAGGTGATGACCCCTAAAGAGGTACTGGAGCTATTTCCAAAGGCTGTTACATGAGAAGAGGTTGCTGGGAGGGCAAGCACTGCCAGCAGCTATGGGCAAGCTTCAGAGGGTATCAATCTCTGTAGAGGAGATAGAAACAGCACCGCATAAGGTGGACAATGGTAAAGCAGCTGGTGAAGAGGAGATAACTATTGATATGATCAAGGCAGCTGGAGGTACTGGAGTCAAGTGGCTTCATAGATTACTCTGTGATTACTGGGAACAAGCTAGGATACCAGATGACTGGAGAATAGGATTGATTGTGCCTCTGTGTAACCATCCAAGGGTGTAGAACCCAAGGGCTGCACAGACTCCCTGCTGCTGCCGTGTCGAACCTGGGTCTTGTCTGCCTCCTACAATCAGCATCCAACCCTCTTCCTGATGCTCCCATCCTGCCTCACCCCTACCCTTGTTCCTACCTACCACCTTGCTCCTTCTCCATAGAATCATAGAATATCAGGGTTGGAAGAGACCTCAGGAGGTCATCTAGTCCAACCCTCTGCTCAAAGCAGGACCAATCCCCAACTAAATCATCCCAGCCAGGGCTTTGTCAAGCTGGGCCTTAAAAACCTCTAAGGAAGGAGATTCCACCACCTCCCTAGGTAACGCATTCCAGTGCTTCACCACCCTCCTAGTGAAATAGTGTTTCCTAATATCCAACCTAGACCTTCCCCACTGCAACTTGAGACCATTGCTTCTTATTCCATGCCTGACCCTTGCTTCTCCTTTGGTTCCTGCCCTTACACCTCGCTCCTGGCCATGACCTACCATTCCTGGCTCTGATCCCCAGCTCTGACTTCTGACTCCGACCCTAGATTGACCCTTGGCTCTGACCCCCGCTTCTGTTCCCTCATCTGGATGCTGCATCCACCCACTAGACCTGACTCCCGCTCTGACCAGCAGGCCAGACTGCCTACGTCCCGATTCCCACCACTTCGGAAGGGTACGGGTGAGGCACATAATCCAAAATCTACTACAGCATCACCCTGCTAAGTCAACCTCTCAAAGTCCATGAAAGAGATTTGGAGGCAAGGTTGAGGTGGAAGGTGGAGGAAAATATAGAAGAGGAGCCGTGTGGCTTTAGAAAGGGAAGGAGATGCAACATTTGCAATGAGACAGACGTCTGAAAGAACGGTAACTAGAGGTCATAATTGCGACGTAAAATGTATTGGTCTTGAAAAGCAGGACGTGGTTCCACGGGAGATGGTGTTTGGAGTATTGAGCTGGATGGGAGAGGGACCTCAAAAAGCAGAGTACTAGGGGAGCTGTAGGGAGGGTCAGGAGCTAAAGTGGTAACTCTGAGAGTTTTGGTGTGTGATTGAGACAAGGCAGGGCACTGGGTCCACTTCTCTCCATTCTAGTTGTGGAGTTAATCAGTAGGAGAACCAAGCTTGTGTAGACACTAAGCAAACGAACGTATGCTAACAACCTGGCCCTTCTGGCTGACAGCAAATCGGAATTGTTAAATATGGTATCAGGATGGGCATTGGTGTTTGAAGACCCTAGTTTGAAGGTAAACACAAAGAAAACTGAAATTACTCAGGGAAGGGGGAAGCAAGAGCTGTTGATTGAAGTTTCAGGGGAGACGCTGAATCAGAAGAGTTTGTGTACGTGGGAAGGACACTTACTGCCATTGGAGAGCGATCTCAAGCTTTGAAAAGAAGAACCCAGTGTGCATGGGCAGCAGTGAAAAAAGTGGCAGGAACACTGTGGGACCAGCAGTGACGTAACAAATGCAGAGGAAAAGTGTATTCTGCGTGAGTTTGTCCCTACCTGCTCTATGGTTTGGAAATGGTGGATCTTATGGAGATGGAGGACAAGAAGATAGAGGTAGTAGAAAATAATACACTGAGGACGATGGGAGCCAAGTGGAGGGTAGACAGGGTGCGCATGGAAGAAATAAGGAGGAAGATGAATTTGGGACTCTCAGCGATAGGCCGCAGAGCACACGTTTCAGGTAGGTTGGACATGTGATAAGAATGGGAGAAGAACAACTAGCAAAGAAAGCATGTTAGGAAGAGGACAGCAAGAAAGGACAAGAGAGGCTGAGGATCGCTGGAAAGACTCTGTCTAGAGACATCTGAAGAGAAAAGGAGTGGAACTCCATGACCTGCAAGCCCGTGCCATGCAAAGAGTGCCGAAGAATTTCCCTGTGTAAACGGGAAAAGGAGTCAGGAAGGGACGTGTGAATTTATTATAATAATATAATATAAATTGTTAAATGAAAAACATTTCAAAATGAAAAATCAAAATCAAATGTTCTGATGTTCTAGAAAAGAATCATTACAATGACATGTAATTGATATGGACATATTCCCAATTCCGTCCAGTCAGCAGCCGCCGATGGAACACTGCTCCACTAGAACATTTTCAACCAGCTGTAGCAAGGAGGGATCTGGGGTGAGATCTAACAACATGCTCTTGTTAAGTCTATTGATCCTCCAGGCAGTGGTTTGCATTCTTTAGACTTATAGCTAAATGTCACTCACCTCGGGGGTTACCTCTAAGTCCAACGAACTGGACACGGTGTAACAAGCGCCAAAGTAGAGGGGCTTCGTCTGAGGGGGCTTGAGCACCTGTATGGACTGGTGCTTTTTCTCCTCTTCATCCACTGCCTATAAGAGTTCAAATACAGGTGTTTCCAGGAGATACTGGCAAACAGAAAAGATATGGGAAAAGGCCCAATTCTTTCCTCCATGCTCCCACTGGACTGGGAAGTCCTGCATCACCCCACACAGCAGAAGGGTGCTGGTCACCAAACCAGGGAAGATAGTATCCAGATGCCAGCACTCAAGGTCTCTGCATATGCTGGGCAAGGATTGTGGTTCTTAAGAGCAGGATTTTACGAACACAAGGGGATCTAAGAGGACCCATGAGGCAACCAAGTCACCCTCAAAGATGAAGGATGAGAGAGAATCTCCTGATGGAATTGCAGCAGGTCCTGGAAATGGCTGCAAAGACCATCTAGCAACATAGGACTTGGGTATTGTTCACCCTTGAAGATCAGAGGGATCCTGGAGGACTGAATACAGGAAAGGATTTTCCTGAGTTCCTAAGGGATTTAAGAGGCTACATCCCATTGACTTCATACGGGAGCAAGACACCTAACAGAGAAGGCTAAAATGTTGGGGGTTCCGTTTGCGAAAAGTTTCGGTATTTCAGAAGTTGGCTTCATTCCAAATCAGCTCAAACCCAAATTCACTGAAAAGCTTTGTGAAGGAACAAACCCTCCAAATGTTCCCAAAATGTGTGCAATTGACATTCTTGTCGGTTTCACCACTGCTATGGCTGAAAGGAAACCTGCTGGTGTTTGGATGAAAGAGTCAAGGAATCTGTGATGGACGCCGGGAAACATTGCACTCTGCTGAACTGGTATCGTTTGACAAAAGTAAATTGTGTTGGAAAATGTCCAACCAGTTCTGGTGCCTAATTCACTTACACCATTCTGAAAATCCCGAGATGAGTGCTTCTAAGTCACTTGGGCACTTTGAAATCCCCACCCACAATTTTCAGGCTCACAGGGTCTCAGGAATTCGGGGCCTGCAGCAGATCCAGTCTGCAGGCGACCTAATGAGCACAGCTGGCCTGAGCAGGCTGCTGGATTGGCTACACCGCCTGATTGGCGGGAAGAGTCAGCAGACCGGCGCTGAAGCCCAGCAGCTGCAGCAGTTCAGTGGCTGCTCAAAGCGTTTCCTGAAGGCTGCAACAGCTCCGTTGCCTGCTTGATCCCAGCCCTGCTCTGGCAGTGCCTCCAGCTTTACCCGATTCCAGGTAACTCAGTCCTAATCTGCAGCTGCGATTTCTGAATTCAGCTCTGGCCCAGGCTCTGGCATTTGGCCTCGGACTCCAGTTCGGACCTGAGCGCCGACGCCTGATTCCTGACTCCAGCTTTGACCCCTGGTTCCGTTTCCTGGCTATCACTAACCACTAGGCCTGACTCCTGCTCTAACCACTAGGCCTGACCGCTCACAACCCGGTCACTGACACAGTGGACAGATAACAGGCCGGAAAAACATGGTCAGGAAGCTGGACTCCCTCTGGGTTTGAATCAGCTGAGAGCTCCAGATGTCTGTTTAGCTGCCCCACAAGAGCAGCCTGCCCCGCTGGGAGTTCTCGCTCCCTGGGGGCCCTGCCATGGCTGGTGGCTCTGGCTCCCCCCAGGTGTGTGGTCGGTTCCCGGTTACCTGGATGAGCGAGCGGTCGTTGGGAATCAGGTAGAGGTGGAGGGTGATGGCTGCAGCCTTGACTACCTGGTAGATCAGCACCACGGAGTGGATGGGTATGAACGGAAACACGGTGTAGATGGGTTTCCAGAGCACCCCGATGAAGGAGAAGCTGGGGTTCTCCAGCACGGCGTGGAACGGCCTCACCTGTGTTGGCTCCTCCAGAGTCATCCTCCCATCAGTGAAGTGAGCGATTCGCATCTGGGGCAGAACAGCATCTCTGCCTGTCACAGGAGGAAAGGGAGGCTCCAATTTGCTTCACCGCTTCCTCACACACACACAGAGCAGAGCAGAGCATGGGAGCCAGGGCTCCTGGGTTCCACTCCCAGCTCGGGTGGGAGAGGGCGATCTAGTGGGTTAGAGCAGGGGGGGCTGGGAGTCAGGACTCCTGGGTTCCATCCCTGACTCTGGGAGGGTTATAACTAAAGGTATCTAGATACACAGACGGAGAGATCACAGTGTCCTGTGTCTGCACTGAGCTCTGTCTCCAGCTCCTTCGTGTCTGTGTCTGCCACGGGGATCGCAGCTGTCAGTCAAAGCTTAGACCCCACTTACTGCTCTTGAGTGCTGTACCTCTGAGACACAGGACGTGCGGGAGGTGAACGGCTGCCACGGCCCCTGCTGGTTCCACCCGGATGTTGAACAAAGGGCCGGCCACCGTCCATTGCTGCTTCTCAGATGTGCTCAGATGCCGATCCCAGGAGTCGTATCTGTACTGGATGGTCACAGCTGCCCTCACCTCGAACCCCAGTTCGGTTTCAGAGCAACGGAAGGAGCCTGCCCCGGGGACGGTGAAACCTGCATGGTGCAGGGAGAGGGGGAATTAATCAGTGTGAGATGGAACTCGCCAACCTCCTGCTCCCACTGACACCAGCTGGAGTCAGGTCTGTTAATCCCCATTGTTTGTGTGGGCCTTGATCAGATCAGAACTGAGTCCCCATTGTGCCGGTCGTCACACAAACCCCAACCGAGATCAGGGCCCCATTGTGCCAGGCGCTGCACAGACCCCGGCTGAGATCAGGGCCCTCTGGTGCCAGGCGCTGCACAAACACATCACAAGGGACAGTCCTTGCCCCAAAGAGTGAATAGTTCTCCTCATTTTACAGATGGGGACCCGAGGCCCGGGGTGGATTAAATCAGTGGTTCTCAACCTGGGGCTCCCTGGGAGGCGTTTCAGGAGCTCTGCCAAACTAAACCAGAGAGCAGGGCTGGCGTTAGACTCGCCGGGGACTGGGGCTGAAGCTGAAGTCTGAGTCCTGCTGCCCGGGGCTGAAGCCGAATCCTGAGCAACTTAGCTTTGCGGGGCCCCCTGTGGTGTGGGACCCCGGGCAATTGCCCTGCTGGCTACCCCCTAACAGCTGTTGTGGCCCAGGTGGGCCCTGGAGTTTTAAAGCACATTGCGAGGGCCTCCAAAAGAAAGAAAAAGGTTGAGAACGCCTGGATTAAATGATTGGCCCGAGGGGTCAGGGAGTCGGTGACAGAGGCAAGCATTAAACTCCAGTCTCCTACGTCCCAGTCTAGTGTCTTACCGAGAAGGTTCCAGGTTCACCCCAGCAGGCTCTTACCTGTAGGATCTGGGCTTCCCCTCGGACTCCAGCACAAGCTCTGGCTTCACTTCTGACAGGTCCTAAGACACAGGAACAGGCGTTAAGGTGGCTTTGAGGAGGGAACCCGGGTGGCTGTGGGCAAGTGTTCAGCTGGGGGCTGTTTCCCTGGCCTGAGACCCTGCCAGTGTGGCTGGCAGAACGGACTCCTGACCAGCCGGATACCAGCCCCACAGTCAGCCATTGCCCTGGGAGAGGGGTTCCCAGGTGACAGAGACCCCCCACCCGCCCCGATCTCGGAGCCAGGAGCTCAGGGGGAGAGTTCTGCAAACCATTGCTCTTGTTCAGTTGGCTAAAGAAGGTACTTAATTTCAGCTGAGAATAGAACCCAGGAGTCCTGACTCCCAGCTCCCACCCTCATCCCCTAGACCCCACTCCCCTCCCAGAGCCAGAGCTTGAACCCTGGAGTCCCGACTCCCAGACCCCTCCATGCTCTAACCCATAGACCCCATTCCCCTCCCAGAGCTGTGAATAGAACCCAGGAGTCCTGACTCCTGTTTTAACCCACTAGATCCTGGAATAGGAGGGTGACGGAAGAGGTGGGAGTTACCCATGCGGAGATATGGAGAAGGCATGAGTAGCAAGGTGAGAATTGTTAAAGTGCTTTGAAATCAGTGAATGAAGGAGCCACGCCCGTGTGGATTTCCTCCCTCCCGCAAACACCCTAGTATCCGAGCAGTTTCTGATCCCATTGATTGGTCTTGTTTCCCCTCTCCAGACTGCACTGCACCAACCCAACTGGGTAACTTCCTCTAAACAGCCAGGTGGAGGCACTAGAATACCCCAGCAGGGAGTGTGAGGGCCTCATCCCTACCTCCTCTGTCACACACCACGTGCATTTCTCCTGCTTCCCCCAGGGGTCCGTGGCGAGGTCCTCCCCGCCGGGTCCATCTCCTGCTGCAGAGAGGAAACACCACTCCAGCTCGGCACAGCCCCGGGCCCAGCTCAGTGGGGTCATCGGCCGGGCTGCCGTGGGGCTGCTCTGCTAGCGGATGCCATAGGAAAGGAGCAACCTGAGCGGCTATGGTACAGCTTGACCCACAGCGCCTCCGTGGGGCAAGATTTCCAGTTTATACAATAGGACAGGCTGGGACTGGAGTAGTCAGGCACGCAGTGCTCCTGCCCTGGTCCCTACAGCGCCCCCTGCTGGTAGAATCCGGACTTGGACCCAGCATAGCCAGAGCGCCCCCTTAGCCAGAGCTCCTGCCCTGGTCCCTACAGCGCCCCCTGCTGGCAGAGGCCGGACTTGGAGACGGCATAACCAGGAGCGCCCCCTCAGCCAGAGCTCCTGCCGTGATCCCTACAGCGCCCCCTGCTGGCAGAGGCCAGGGTTGGATTGGCCAAGAGCTATCCTCAGCCAGCACTCCTGCCCTGCTCCCTGCTGGGAGAGCCAGGAGTTAAAAACACCGTCAATCTCTTGCGGCCTGATCCAAAGCCAGTCAAAGTCAATGGCCCAAATCCCCCATCTCTTGATCTCTAGCCAATTCACCGTCTCCGTGGCTGGGATTCTTCTGTGCAGCACAGAAAAGCCCCAGCAAACAACAGAGAGTTTGCATGAAATATAAAAAGGGGAACCATAGTTTGCAGACAGCCGTGAATCTGGGTCTGGAGTATGGGGAAATTTCCACTTTCGGAAGAGAAACAACAGCAAAATCTACATCGCACGGGTCAGAAAAGTCAAGCGCAGGGAAAGGGGTTAAAGCAAAACAGGATGGGATTGGCACCAGCCTCCCAGCTGCAAACAGCTGGCGCCTCCGTCACTCCCAGTTAGCGAGGGGGGAAAGGCCTTTCCAGAGCTGGGATGTGGGGGCAGATCTCCCTTACCGATCCCGGTGGCCTCAGCCAGTCGCTCGGCCAGGGGTCCCTGGCTCACGGCTCTCAGCATCTCCTGGGTCATCAACACAGCATGGCCTTCTCCGTAGGTGCTCACCAGCTCTTCAATCATCTCCATGACCTCTGCTCTCTCCTGCCCTCCCCAGGGGTTGGCCGTAGGGCCCCCCCTGTGGATGGGTCTTGGCCGCTCTCTCCCGGATCCTCCTGAGATCCTCCTCGCCCAAGCTTCCCACGGTTCGCGCCTGCATCTCTTGCACTCCGCAGAGGGCCAGTCTCTGCTCCCTGCATCGCTCCTCGTAAGTCTCCAGTGCCTCGGCCAGTCCCCCTGCCAGCTCCCCCCGTTTGATGGCCCAGAGCACTTCCCCAGCCGTCTCCAAGCCACAGCGCACCCCGTAGTGGTTGATCAGCTCCGCGGCGACCTCTGCAGGCTTCGCTCTCTCCAGCTGGCCCCAGGGGATGGGGTTGTAGCCCCCTTTCTGCCCAATGTCGGCCAGCTTGACCTTGAACCTCCCAAGCTCGTCCTCCCCCAGCTCATTCAAGGTCCAGAGCAGGCAGCCCCTGGCTCTGGAGACGGCTGATTGTTGCTCCCGGCGCTGCTCCTCATAAGCGTCCAGCAACACGGCCAATTCCTCTGCCAGATCTCCCCGGTTCACAGCTCTCAGCCCCTCCACCGTCACCTCCAGCCCGGCATCCACCGTCCGCCATAGAGAGGGGTGGAAGGGCTTTGCTCCGCTCAGCAGCCCTCCAGCCCCCTCTTCAGCCAGACCAGACTGATCTTGGCCCTTAACTCCTTCAGCTCCCGGCCCCCCAGCTCCTTCAGGGCTTCCAGCAGGTGCCGCCTGCCTGTCTTCTCCATTGGGTCTAGGACAGCAGAGAGACAAGAGCAGGGAGATGCATCTGCATCAGCAGCTGAGGCACTAATGTTCAGCAAGTAAGGGGAGGAGCGACAAGGCCAAACCCTCTCCACATGGTCCCTTAGCCCCGCCCTCTCTTTTCTGTATGTTCTAATCCCGCCCTCTTCACCATGGTATCCAGTCATTCAAGAAGCAATGTGACCCGCAGCTGTCACACGTGGACCATCCTCTCTCTTATTCAGGCAGCACATTTGGGAAGGTGGTTTTACCTCTATGTGCGGTACTGGACACCAACGCTGGGGTGCTGGGTCCAGTTCTGGAGGTCCCAATTCCAAAACGAGGTTGGAAAAACAGAGAAGGTGCAAAGCAAAGCCACAAAAATCGTTGGAGAAAGTGCCTGAGAGTGAGAGACTTAGAGAGCTGGATCTGTTTAGGGGATCAGGAAGAAGACTGAGCAGTGACTTGGGGCTTGTCTACACTTACATTTTACAGCGCTCCAACTTGCTGGCTCAGGGGTGTGAAAAATCACCTCCTCCCCCACCCCCAAGTGCAGCAAGTTTGAACGCTGTAATGTGCCAGTGTGGACAGGCTCCCAGTGCTCCGAGCTATTCCTCTGGTGGAGGCGGATTACCAGGAGCGCTGGGAGAACTCGTAACCACACTCACACATCAAAGTGCTGCCGCAGGCGGGGAGGGGTCACAAGGTTATTGTAGGGGGGTTGCAGTATCGCCATATTTACTTCTATGCTGCCTTCAGAGCTGGGTGCCTGGCCAGCCGTCACCGCTCTCCGGCCACCCAGCTCTGAAGGCAGCGCAGAAGTAAGGGTGGCAATACCATGACACCCATTACAATCACCTTGCAACCCCCACCACAACCTCCTTTTGGATCAGGACCCCTGCAGTTACAACACCGTGAAAGCTCAGATTTAAATAGCTGAAATGCATTTTACTATTTTTAAAATCCTAGGACCATGAAATTGACCAAAGTGGACTGTGAATTTGGTAAGGCCCTAGTGATGTGAAATTGTCAGCGAAGACCGCAGGAGTTAGTTCACTATGCACTAGGGCTGGAGAGCAGTGGGGGGTGTGCTAGCAATTCATTCCAGTGGCAGTGAGTTCCACAGTCTGGGGCCTGAGAAGGCCCTGCCCCCTGCACAGACAGTCTTCACCCTTGTAGTAGCTAAATCCACTGCATCAGCGGTCCGGATCCACCAAGGATGGTGGAAATCCCAGAGCTGGGAGTCCATCTTCTCGGTATCCCAGAACCAGCCCACTTAGCACCTGGGAATTTCCAGCTGCCTCAGTTTCCCCATCTGTCCATTGGAGACGATAATCCTTTGTCTATTGCTGTTCAGGGTAGGAATTTTTCGTTCTTATGTGACTGTGCAGCCTCCAGTGTAAGTCTGAAGTGGCCCCACAAATGCCAATGGAGTCAGAGCTGGAGTCTGACCTCAGTGACTCCGGTATGAATCCGGAGTAACTCCACTGATGGTAATGGAGTCGGAACTGGAGTCTGACCTCAGTGACTCCGGTATAAATCCGGAGTAACCCCACTGATGGTAATGGAGTCGGAACTGGAGTCTGACCTCAGTGACTCCGGTATGAATCCGGAGTAACTCCACTGATGGTAATGGAGTCACGGCAGGATTCGGAGCGTATTGAACCGGCGTAATTGAATCCTGTCCTAAAACTGCTTTCCCTTTAGGGTCACTGGATCGGTTCCTCGCGCTGGTTTAAGCTGCCGTAGCCGCTGGCAGGCAGCGTGGAAAGAGGAGAGCCCTCACGTCTGGCCAGGCTGCATCAGGCGTGTGCAAGGGGGGCTGCGATCGTCCCCCCTGGAGGAGGGGCTGGCGGGAGCAGAGAGCGGAACAGGCCGGAGGAGCAGGGGCATGTGGCAACGGGGTTGGTTAATGTGGAGCAATCGCTTCCACCACTGCCTGATGCAGCTTCCTGATTTTTCTCTGCTTGGCTCCGCTGCCCTCCGGGGGGGCGGCAGGCGGCATGGAGGGGACGGGGCGACGCCGCCTGCTGCAGACCCTGGCCGGGCTGGGGAAGGACGAGCTCCAGAGATGGAAAGAGAAGCTGAGCAAAATAGCACTGAAGGAGGGATACCAGCGCATCCCCCAGGCCCTGCTGGAGAGAGCCGATCCGGCGGCCCTGGCCGAACTGCTGATCAGCTACTACGGGGAGGAGTATGGGTTGCAGCTGGCTTTACGAGCACAGGCTTTGTGCAGTGCAGAACAAGCGGCAACGGATGTCTCGAGCGCAGCTGGTGAGTTACCAGGCAGGAAGAGACCTGGCCCAGTGGGTCCCCAGTGCCTCTTCCCCCAGCGAGCCGCTCTAGGGACTGGGAACAGAGTCACGGGACAATCCCAGCCTTGATCCAGCCCCCCTGTCCCTGCCTGGCCTTCCCATTGCAGCACCCCAAACTGGCGCGTCCTGCTGCCCAGGTCCCATGCCCGCCCTCCCCAATCCACTGTCCCAAGCATAGCTGGCAGCAAAGGCGGGGGCTGCCCCTGGAAATGAACAACTGTCTCCAGCCACCTTATCTCTGCCCCATCCCCCACCATTGTCCTGGACCACGCCCCACTCTGCCCCCTACCTCCCATCACCCCAGAGAATCACAGCCGTGTCAGGGTGGAAGAGACCTTGAGAGGTCATCATGTCCAGCCCTCTGCACCGAGGTGGGGCCAAGTAAACCAGGACCATCCCTGACAGGTGTTTGTCCAACCTGTTCTTAAAAACCTCCAGTGACGGGGACTCCACAACCTCCCTTGGAAGCCTGGTCCAGAGCTTTGCTACCCTGAGGGTTAGACAGATTTTCCTAATATCTAACCTACATCTCCCCTGCAGCAGATTAAGCCTGTTACTTCTTGCCCTGCCTTTGGTGGACACAGAGAACAATTGATCCCTGTCCTCCTTATAAAAGCCCTTAACATCTTTGAGGACTCTTATCAGGTCCCCCTCACTCTTCTTTTCTCAAGCCTAAACATGCCCAGTTTTTTAAACTTTCTTTGTAGGTCAAGTTTTCTAAACCTTTTGGTTGCTCTCCCATGCACTCTCTCCAAATTGTCCTAATCTTTCCTAAGGTGTGGCACCCAGAATTGGACACGGTGCTCCAGCTGAGACCTCATCAGTGCTAGGTAGAGCAGGACAGTTACCTTCCATGTCTAACATACAGCACTCCTGTGAATACCCCCCAGAATATTAGCCTTTTTCACAGCTGCATCACATCGTTGACTCATAGTCAATTTGTGACCCACAATAACAGCCAGATCCTTTTCAGCAGTACTACACCTAAACCAGTTATTCCCCATTTTGTAGTTGTGCATTTGACTTTTCCCTCCAAGGTGTACTTGTTTGCACTTGTCTTCATTGAACTTCATCTTATTGCTTTCAGACCAATTTGTTAAGACCCTTCTGAATTCTAATCCCGTGCTCCAAAATGCTTGCAACCTCTCCCAGCTTGAGGTCATCTGCAAATTTTATAAGCATCCTCTCCACTCCATCATCCAAGTCATTAATGAAAATAGTGAACAGGACCCAGGAGAGACCCCTGCAGGACCCCACTGGATACATTCTACCAGTTTGACAGTGAACCATTCATAACTACTCTTTGAGTATGGTCCTTATAACCCTGTTGTCCTCTAGGTGCTTATAAACCGATTATTTAATAATTTGTTCCAGTCTCTTTCTAGGTATCAGAGTTCACTAATTCCCCAGGTCCCCTTTGCTCCTCTTTTTAAAGGCAGGTATTGCATTTGGCCTTTTTCGGTCCTCTGGAACCTTACCTGTCCTCTGGGGTATCTCAAAGATAATTGTTGATGGTCCCAAGATTGCTTCAGCTGGTTCCTTAAGTACCCTAGGGTGAATTTCATCAGGCCTTGTTGACTTGAAAACCTCTAACTTATCTAGCTATTCTTTAAGTGCTTCCTTCCCTATTTGGGTTTGTGGTCATTTCCCCTTGCTGTTAATATTAATTGTGTTAAGTATCTGGTCACCATTAACTTCTTAGTGAGAACCGAAGCAAAATAGACATTAAACACCTCACCTGTTTTATACCATCCATTATTAGCTCTCCTTCCCCACTGATTGGAGGACCTACACTTTCCTTCGTCTTTCTTCAGAACCTCTCCTTACTGCCTTTTATGTCCCTTGCCAGGTCTGACTCATTTTGTGCCTTAGCCTTTCTGATTGTTTCCCTACACGCTTGTGCTCCTCTCTAGCAATTTGTCCATGTGTCTCCTTTCTGTGGGATTCCTTTTTGATTTTCAGGTCGTTCAAGTCCTCCTGCTGAAGGCATAATGGTCTGTTGTTATTCTTTTTAATAATTAACAGAGATATCCTATTTCCTAGAACTGGAAGGGACCTTGAAAGCTCATCGAGTCCAGCCCCCTGCCTTCACTAACAGGACCAAGTACTGATTTTTAACCCAGATCCCTAAGTGGCCCTCTCCAGGATCGAGCTCATAACCCTGGGTTTAGCAGGCCAATGCTCAAACCACTGAGCTATCCTTCCCTTCCTCTCGCTTCTTTTTATCGTGATAGTTGTGCCTTTATACGGTCTCCCTGAGACGCTGACAGCTCTCCTGAACTCCTTTTTCCCTTAGATTTTCTTCCCAGAAAATCTCACCTCACCTACCAGTTCTCTGAGTTTGTTGGTTGGCTTTTTTGAAGTCCATTGTCCTCATTCTGCTGCTCTCGCTCCTTCCTTTCCTTAGGATTGTGAAATCTATCCTTTCACGGCTGCTTTCACCCAAATTGCCTTCCACCTTCAGATTCGCAACCAATTCCTCCTGGTTAGACAGAATCAGGTCTCAAATGGCTGTCTCCTTGGTTTTTTCCTCCACTTTCTGAATCAAAAAGCTTCCCCGATACATACCAAGAACTTATTGGACAGCTTGTGTTTTGCCGTATTACTTTTCCAACAGCTGGCTGGGGAGTTCAAGTCTCCCATTACTACCAGGTCCTGTATTTGGGGTATTTCTGTTTTGTTCTAGAAATGCCTCATCCCCTCCCCCCACTCCTAATTTGGGGGTCTATAGAAGACCCCCTACATCACCTCTACTTTGTACCTCTTTTATCTTGACCCAGAGACTTTCAGCTGTTCTGCCTCTCGCTTCCTTCTGGACTTCAGGACAAGTGTATACACTCTTGATGTACAATGGAACCCTGTCTTCCTTTGTTCTCTGCCCGTCCTTCCTGAACAAGCTAAACCCCTCTATAGCAATATTCCAGTCATCACACATCCCACCAGGTCTGTGTGATGCCATACAACGTCCAGTCTGTCCCACACCCCCAGTCACCCCATGTGACCTGCACTCTGCCCACCGCAACCCACCCACCTGCCCAATTCAACCTCTTCTCTACACTCCTATCCCCACCATCACCCCCTGCAACCTCCACTCAGCAGATTTATACTGCGGTGACTGAGATCAGAATCCAGGCCAGTCTTGTCTCCATTGGCATCACTCCAGAGTCACACCGGGGGTCACTGAGCTCAGAAGTTGGCTAACATTTTTCAGAATGTCAGTCACATTTTGTTTTTTCTTTTCAGGATTAATCAGTGGACGCTGAATCCACCCCTAGCTCTGCTGCACACTCAGTGACCGCAGGGGAGCTCTGCTTCTCTCTGTCTAACATATGCACTGGCCCACTGCAGCAAAAAATGTATCCCCCTTCCAGGTGCTATTCCTGGCAGCCACACTCTCTACACGTAACTAGGCCCATGTACAGCCTAAAATCTACTTGATTCAAGATTCTCGCTCACCTCCTGTCCCAAACTCCGATCTGTGCATTATCACCGTGCAGCTGTTAGCCAGCTGTTGTGCCCCACCCCAGAGGTGGCTGCATTTCAGCAGCCGATGAGTGATTCATGTGCACCGTTGCTGTGTGGCTGTTAACCAGCGGCCCCACCTCAGCGATAGCTACATTCTAATGCTGTTTAGCATCGCTGTGTGTCTTCTCAGTGGCTGTCACACCCCACCAAATCAAGATAGCAGGAAGTGTGTGTGTGAGGCGGGGGTTGGATACTACGCTAGATGGGCCTATAGCTCTGATCTGGGACAGCAGGGAGGGAGCAGGAACCCAGGCTAGATGGGTCCATTAGTTAGGGGGCCAATCAGGCCTCAGGGTGCCTGGGGGGCAGGTACTGGCCTCTGTGTATGACGCGCACCCTCTTGGACTCTTTGTAGGCTCAGAGGTCACCGATGAGCTGCTGATGAGGAATCTTTCAGAGCTTGAGTGGAATAAAGCAAAATCCTCCCCCCGCCTGCCTCTGCCTCCCGCGTGGCTCAGGAAGTTGACGGGCAAGAAGGGGAAGCAGCGCGGTGAGTGCAGCTGGCCAGGGCACGGTTTTCCCATCCCCTGGCGATTTTCAAGCCTTCGAGTAAGTTTTCCCGTCCCCGATCGGGCTGAGACCGCAAAATCTCAAATATTTCTGCAAAGTGAAAAACCAACCACTTTTTCAGTTCAGGTCCCTCGGGACATTTCAGGTTGGTTTCGACTCCTCTTGCTCTTCGGGTGGGTGGTCCCCACCTCCTTTTTTCGAAAGTCTAATTAGCTAAGATTTGGAAACGGAAAGTCAGTTCGAACCAGAAAACCTGGCAGTTCTCATTACTAATGTGTCAAAACAAACAGGGCTTTATTGGCACTGGGGGAAAAAAAGGGTCTCGTGGAAAAATTCCTGACTAGCTGTAAAGTGATGTCTGTAGGCGACTGCAACAGTGCCTAGCCGATGGTGCCAATCAGTTAGCTGTGGGGAACCAGGGGGAGGCGCTGGTGGGGGGTACTCCCCCAGGGGCCAGGGGGAGAGGCGCAGACTGCCCTGCAGCAGTGACTGAGAAAGGAGGTGAGGACCACCTAGCCCTGCCTGCTTGGGACCAGATCCTTCCAGAGTTACCCCAAGGTCATCAAGATCAGAACCTAACCCTGACTCGATTGCTGAAAGTGAATTCACTCCGGATTTACATCAGGGTCACTGCTATCACAATTTGGCTCCCATTTTTCAGTTACTTTTTTGTTTTTCTTCTCAGGATCCTTCAGTGAAGAGACTCAATCCACCCCTAGGTCTAGTACGGGGACAGAGGCGGCAGGAGGTGGGTAGCGCTGACGATAGCTCTGCTTCTGTCTGCCTAACATACACACTGACCCATGGCAGTAAAAAGTGTCTGTCTTCACAGTACTAACGGGGTCACCTTACTCCTGGCAACCACAACTCTGTACAAGTAACTAGGCCTATGTACAGCCTAAAATCTACTTGATTCGGGATTCTTGTTCACATCTTGTCCCAAACGCAGAGCTGTGCACGGTCACTGTGTGGCAGTTAGCCAGCTGCCGCGCCCCACCCCAGAGGTGGCTGCATTTCAGCAGCAGGTGAGCGATCCCTGTGCACCATTGCTGTGCGGCTGTTAACTAGCTGCACCACCTTGGAGGCAGCTGCATTTCAATGCTGCATGGCTTCTAAACAGTCATCACACCACACCGAATCGAGACAGCGGAAAACATGGTGGTGGTGGTGGGGATATTGGGCTAGATGGGCCAAGGGGTCTGATCCGGGGCAGCAGGGAGGGGGTGGGAACCCAGGCTAGGTGGGCCATTAGTCGGGGGCGGGGGGCAGGTACTGGGCTGTGTGTGTGACGCACTCCATCTATGCCTCCCCCCAGACCCCATGAGGGAACAGGGCCCTGTCTCACAGCCCTCTGAGGACACCAACATACTGCGGGAAATGGGGCTGGTGGCGCCCGAGCGGAGCAGGTTTTCAGGGCACACTGCGAAGATGAAGATCGTCTTCCCCAGCCTGACTCTACCTACACCTCCACAGTGGCTAAGGACGCTGACGGGCAAGAAGGGGAAGCAGCGTCCGGCCTACTTAGGCAGTGAGTGCAGCTGGCCAGGACGCTGTTTTCCTGGCTCAGGATTCTCATTCACTTCCTGTCCCAAACTCCTATCGGTGCCCTGTCACTGTGTGGCTGTTAGACAGCTGCTGTGCCCCAGCCCAGAGAAGGCTGCATTTCAGTGCCACGTGGCATCGCTGTGTGTCTGCTAAGCAGCCGTCACGCACCCCCAAGCCAGGACAGCTGGAAGTTTGGGGGGCCAGATACCGAGCTAGATGGGCCAACTGGGCTAATCCGGGAGGGCAGGGGGAGGGATACCGGTCTAGAAGGGGTTATTGCTTGATGCTCTCATTCTCTCTGGGCCCAGCTACAGCCCTGGACCCCTTGTACAACCAGAGAGGTGGGGCTAGTCCCCAGGTGGAGGAGAATGAGGAGCTGGGGGAGGAGACTGAGCAGGAGAATGATGGGGAGGAGGGGATGGCCCATTATAATAGCTCACGGGGATGTCCCCGCCGGCTGCGGCTGGTGGCCTGGAAGACAACACGTGGGGTGGACATTGTGGAAAGAGCTCTAGGGCTGGTTGGAGACTGTCCTGGAAAAGCAGCATCTGGGCAGCGAGCATCCCAGGGTGGGACTCGCTGGGCCTTGGCAGGGGCAACGAGGCAAGATGGGCCCATTGCTCTGACGCAGGGCAGCAGGGAGGAGTCGGGATGCCAGGCAAGATGGGCCCATTGCTCTGACGCAGGGCAGCAGGGAGGAGTTGGGATGCCAGGCAAGATGGGCCCATTGCTCTGACGCAGGGCAGCAGGGAGAGTCGGGATGCCAGGCAAGATGGGCCCATGCTGTGACGCAGGGCAGCAGGGAGGAGTCGGGATGCCAGGCGAGATGGGCCCGTTGCTGTGACGCAGGGCAGCAGGGAGGAGTCGGGATGCCAGGCGAGATGGGCCCATTGCTGTGACGCAGGGCAGCAGGGAGGGGTCGGGATGCCAGGCGAG